CTCTCCTATTTCGTTTCCAAAATGGGTCAACTTCTACTTTTTTTTCAAAAGTGGTTACTTCATATTATGAAGTCAACAAATACACCAACAAACATTGTGGTTCCTTCGTGGCTTCCTGTGTTTTTTGAAAAAGATTTGGTTGGCATACCGAATTTTGTTAACATCTCGATAGCTATCGAATGTATGGTTGTTTTACCCGTGAGAATCACAAAAACAGAGACATATTGGAAGAGAGATTACGCAATTTGCATTCCTCTGATGTTTGAAAATATGCGAGTCGCCAATGTGGTCCAGTTTCTGGAAATGTCGCACCTTTTAGGAGCGTCATATTTTACATTTTATGACTACAATATCTCTGACCGCGAGAGGAAGATGGTTAGTTACTACCAAAGAAAAGGGTTAGCACAAGTTCGTCCTTGGAATTTATCCACCTATATCACAGTCCAAGAGGTCCATTACCACGAGCAAAGTTTTTCCATGCAAGACTGCTTGTTCCGATCATTAAATCGTCTCAACGTCGTTGCCTTCAACGATTTGGTTGAGTTTATAATCCCGCTTCAGAATGAAAGTATGCCTTCTCTACCTTACAGTATTCACTACTCTAACTATTAAGGCCACTGTTTTACAAGCGCAAAGTTTCCCACTGTAGATAGCTTGACTCAAAACTATTCTCTATTCTCTCAAAACTTTCTGCGTCGTTCACCGCAAGCTGAATCGTTACACACAAAAGTTAATGCGTTGATCATCCGCAAAGAGTGTTTCAGCATGCAGTACATCTTATCATGCAACAATTCGAAGGCTACAAAACTAACCATTTGAATTGGAACAAAGCCAGAGTTTTCCATTGCAGAGAATGTCAACCACCATGTAACTTGGCCGCTGATATGATAGTAGATACAACCAAGCAGAAAAACGGCCAGCAATTAAGAAAGAATGTGCTTACAAGCTTCGTTGAAACACAAGCAAGGAGACATCTTGCAAGAGAGATTACGGAATTTGCGGGATATGGTAGACACACACATTTTGGTAAGGAACTGGTTTGCCTCCCATGAAAGGAAATTTAATGTCCAGAACTGTCTTCCATTTTCCATTGAAATCTGTAATTCCGTCTGGTGAAGAACCTTGCCAGTTTATCTTATAATTAAATTATCTGTATTTTGCCTCAAAAACCTTTTAGGTAGATGAGAAGAGTACTATCTTCTTTGATAGAACCCCATAACATTGCCAAATTTGATTCATTTGGTTCTTTAGCTATACGATGTAAAGCATAAAATAATTCATTCTTAGCTTGCCCAGTAATCATTCAATCGTGGCCTTTTTCCCATACCATCGAAGAGCTTTTGCAGTCATAATTGCTTTCATTAATTTCCCTTTACGAGCATTGAACCACTCAGCTGTTCTTTGTGTTTCAAATTTGGGATCACAGTTACTTGAATTCTCAGAAGATATTGATTTGTAGAATTCAATATCATTAAGGGTCGTTACAGGTAAATTACAAAGCAATTTTACCTGTCCAGTGATGTAGCAGACCAGTACAATGCAAGCTTTACTACTAGGGGGTTTAATTGCAACTTGGTTCACTTCAGTGTCAATTGTGCTTTTAATTCTTTAATTATATTTTGTAAATCACTAGACAAATCATTCTGATAGTTAACCTAGACCATCTGCCATTCCTGAAAGGAGCGGTTCGTTGCCGTCTTACTTCCATTGATTCCCCCTTTCAAGAATTAAAATTCACAGTGGTTTAGCAGAGTAAAAAATATACCGTACGAGTGAGTCTTATTCATGATTATATAGTTATAATCTTGCATAATATTTTCTTCCAGTAAAAAATAAAGCACCCTTTCTTTTAATCTTAAGATGATTAATCTTTTTTTGAAGAAAGTTGATGGATCAGTTTTCATTATATAATTAATGCACACATGACAGTCTTGTCGTCATGCAAACAGACGTACATTTGTAGCAGGTGAAGACCCTGAGATCAATATATTCAATAGATTGCATAAAAAGTCCTGGTAGCTATGTTAAGATTTATCACAGGCAGGTAGCCAACATAAATCATATGCAACTTTGAGTTCGACCATTTCCTACAAGAACAACTCAACAATATACCAATAAGGAAAGGAACACTGAGATGAGGAAGAACGGTCTGTAGGATGACTGTATGGAATTAGAATCAATGCTTCCACCGACGATATGGTCAGCCCAGAGCAACCACTAAGTGACATAATAGCCCACCACCAGAGTTTGATTTGCAACAAGGTCTTTTTCCTTCATGCTAGCCGCCATAAATGATGCGCAGGAGAGAATTTGGATTCCGGCTTGAAATGTAAGCAAGTCCTATGAAAAGGTTAATTCACTCAAATATACTGGAGCAAAATAAAAACAACATGAGGAAACAAGATAACCTCCAATAAATGATTTAGTGTTTAGTTCTACTTTACCATTCAATTCTTTAAACAGGAATTGTTGATGAGTGACAGTTTATTAATGCAATGATTTCAACACAAATAAAAGTAGCAGTTGAAATAAATTGAACAGGTTATATAGTGTAAAGTGGTGTAATGAAATTGCCCAGCTGTTGTAAACAGAAGCACACTGACAACAGTGAAAATACGGAAGTACACCGAAATTCAAAACAATTTGTTGAATGAACAGTCGTTCAGTTATCATAGAGCAAGATTGTTATTACCAAAAACAATAAGATCACATTTTCATTCACAAATTAATCCGATCTATATTTTCTACTAAATAGTCATTTTGACAGTCTATAGTATGATCTTCACATTCTTTTACTCCTATTACTAATTAGAGACAACTATTTATTTGTCGTAATCAAAATTGTTTTTATGATTACCTTGGACTGGAAAGCATATCGTGGTCAGCACACCAGATTTGAAAACTAAACTACACCTTTTATTTTTTATTATCGAGGGATAGATGTCCTTGGGAAAATGAAACAGCACCAAAAACCTCACAAGCGCAATACCACACGACAGGATAGGAAATTAAGTGTGTCTTCAGTCTTGTATCATCTAATTGTTTTTTGGTTGACCTATTTTGTGGATTAAAAGTTCTAAAAATGATTCCTCGTGAGAGCAACAAAGGCTACATTGCGAAAATAAGGAGATCAGTGGTGTGCACGAGAGTCATTAGAGAACACGACAAGGATCACTATACGACTTTTCCGTACCCATAAACCCGCGCTGTTGATGAAAAAGCCCACCAGAGCGGCTTGTCGGGTCCGCTTTTCCGATGAGGCAATGTGGATTGTTGGCACTTACACAGGTCAAGCCAGAAGCTATCCACATAATTCCTTACACTAAAAGCTCAACGGGGATTAGGCCCTGAAAAATGAATTGAGTCCCGGTTGCTGAATGGCTGCGATGATCGAAGCTTGCGGCAAGGCTTCTTGCTCGCAAGTCGTTCAAAATGGAGCGAAAACTAGGTGAGCCTCAAAACTTTACAAGTTCACATATGTGGTTAAATTTTTTGACCGAGATACATCAATTTTTTTTAAAGTAATGATAACCTTTATAACGGCAACTTTGCAAGACGGTGGTAAGTGCTGTATCAATCCATGTCACACACCAAAGCGAATCAACTGAGGTGTTCCCTACAGTTGTGCTTAGTTACCTACATGTTGAAGGCGATAGTAGGTGAAACTAGGCACACGAAACCTACGAAACCACGAAACCCACGACACCATATGCAAAACAGAGCTTTCAGTAAGTCGCAGCAGTTTTGTAAGGCAATATCCATCTATTCCCGAAGTTCACAAGATGTGGGCTTGGAAGTTTTTGATGTTTTAACCATTTTTTTTTTGCCTCTTTTGATACCGAATATATTGTTTTGCCTTGCTGCAACCGCCTCTCTCATTTTGTTTCCAAAATGGGTAAAATTCTACTATCTCTTCAAGTTTCTGGAAATGTCGCACCTTTTAGGAGCGTCGTATCTTACATTTTATGAGCACAATATCTCTGACAGTGCGAGGAAGATGTTTAGTTACTACCAAAGAAAAGGGTTAGCACAAGTTCGTCCTTGGAATTTTTCCACCTATTTCACAGTCCAAGAGGTCCATTACCACGGGCAAAGTTTTTCCATGCAAGACTGCTTGTTCCGATCATTAAATCGTCTCAACGTCGTTGCCTTCGACGATTTGGTTGAGTTTATAATCCCGTTTCAGAATGAAAGTATGCCTTCTTTACATTACAGTATCCACGACTCTAACTGTTGCGGCCACTGTTTTACAAGCGCAAAGTTTCCCACTGTAGATAGCTTGACTCAAAACTATTCTCTATTCACTCAAAACGTTCTACGTCGTTCACTGCAAGCTGAATCGTTACACACCAAATGCGTTGATGATCTACAAAGAGTGTTTGAGCATGCAGTACATCTTATCATGCAACAATTCGAAGGCTACAAAACTAACCATGTGAATTGGAACACAGCCAGAGTTTTCCATTGCAAAGAATGTCAACCACCATGAAACTCGGCCGCTGATATGAAAGTAGATACAACCAAGCAGAAAAACGGCCAGCAATTAAGAAAGAATGTGCTTACAAGCTTAGTTGAAACACAAGCAAGGAGACATCTTGCAAGAGAGATTACGGAATTTGCGGGATATGGTAGACACACATTTTGGTAAGGAACTGGCTTGCCTCCCATGAAAGGAAATTTAATCTCCAGAACTGTCTTCCATTTTCCATTGAAATCTGTAATTCCGTCTGGTGAAGAACCCTGCCAGTTTACCTTATAATTAAATTATCTGTATTTTTGCCTCCAAAACGTTTTAGGTAGATGAGGAGAGTACTGTCTTCTTTGATAGAACCCCATAACATTGCCAAATTTGATTCATCTGGTTCTTTAGTTATACTATGTAAGTCATAACATAATTCATTCTTAGCTTACCCAGTGATCATTCAATCATGGCCTTTTTCCCATACCATCCAAGAGCTGTTGAGAGTTTGATGGCGCCATGTGGTTTGATTCATTGATCAAAATTTAAAGGGAATAACTCGCACGAAGTCCTACAACGTTTGGCTCGTCAGAGGTCGGGATTTATGTTCTTTGTAGGAATAACTGGTCATTCTATAATCGCCGCAACACACCCGGGAATGATGGAGTACATACCCATCAAAACAAATGATGCAGTCAAAGATATGTTCGAGGCAAATTCAATGATTGTGATTAACGCACCTGAAGTACAAACACACATAATGAAATGGCTTGTAACTTGTGCGCTCAAAGAAGACTGCATCGCGCCCGTCGGTGCAAAATTATACTACGGCTTCAACTTTCCGAAAGATAAGTTTGGAGGATGTCATAGATACGACCAGTCTTTAGTCAATATCTTGGTTTCAAATGTTTACAGCTCTGATAGAAATAGATATCTTTTAGAAGGCTTTGCTGAAGTTGATCGTCTTTGACTGTAGAGGGTTTGTTCTTGCCATATGTAAGACCTGAAACAGCTACAGTAGCCGCGAGGTCTTCTTGTAAAAAAATACACGTTTTTTTATAGGTCACTCTTAAACTTTTTTATAGGTCATTCTTAAACTCATTACTTGTTTACGCTTCATTACAGTTACGATGAAAGAGTTGATGCAGTCTTGCCAAAATAGTGCCTTTTCAAATGACAGAAAATCTCAAAGCCGGTTTTTTAAGCGGAGTTTAATCAGTTTTTAACAAAACCGAGTTCGAAGTCATTTTCAGTTTGCTCAACGCTTTTATCTAAGCACCATTTGTCGTGAGCAGTTTCATTAAAGCATATAATTTGCAATTTTCAAAATTGCAGTAATTACATTTAAGGCACTTCATGGTGCTGCACCTAGCTATATCACTGATCTCATCAAGCCTTACACACCTGGTAGACTTCTTAGATCCTCTAACCAATTTTTACTTTCTACATCTAAATTTAATCTTAAAACTTATGGTGGCCGGTCTTTTACTATTGCTGCACCTTCTGTTTGGAATGCACTTCCATTCGAACTTAGATCTTGTAATTCCCTTTCTTCTTTTAAATCTAAGCTTAAGACTTGGCTTTTTAAAATTTGTTATGATGTTGTCGTATAGAATGATGATGTTTTCATAGGATGACAATGTAGTTTTGTACGTTTAGGATTTTGTTGTTATTTTTATTATGTTAAGCGCTTTTGGACCATTGGGAATTAGCACTCTATAAATATTTTATGTTGATTGCATAATTGCCTCCATTGGTTTCCCCTTACGAGCATTGAGCCACTCAGCTGTTCTTTGTTTTTAAAATTTGGGATCACTGTTACTTGAATTTTCAGAAGATATTGATTTGTAGAATTCAAAATCATTAAGGCTACAGATAAATTACCAAGCAATTTCTCTTTTCCAGTGATGTACCAGTCTAGTACAATGCGGGTTTTTCTACTAGGGGTTTAATCCTGACAACTTGTTTCACTTCAGTGTCAATTGTGCTTTAATTCTTGAATTATATTTTGTAAATCACTAGACCAATCATTCTGATAGTCAACCTAGACCATATATATCCCATTCCTGAGAGGAACTGTTGGTTGCTGTCTTACTTCCATTGATTCCCCCTTTCAAGAATTAAAATTCACAGTGGTTTTTCTTTCCTGTAATTGGTGATGACAGGTACTTGAAATTTAGAAGTATCGATCGATCAGTCTAGTATTTAAAATCATGAAGGCTTTTTATCAGACAAATTACCAAGTAAATTCATAAATGTGAGTTCATTGCGCTTATTTTTTTGTATTTTAGGCTGACCATCAGATTTACTTTTGCTTGCACAATTTAAGTTACATTGAATGGGTTCTATTCGCCATAACAATAACAAAGTTGCTTGGCCAGCAACACTGACACGTGTTTTTTTACGACATTCAGATGCCCAGACGGCATTACCTATTTAAAAACCGTTCCCTGTATATCTTGTTTCATGCTAGAATAATTTGAAATTGACGTCTGAAATTTATGCTATCCTGTGTAAAGTAGCGCTGGGAACATCAACATGTTTTCATCTGAAAAACCAGTAAACCTTAAAAAAGTAAAGGCTCATTACAGCACACAGTTTACAAGGTTGCCGACTTCATCTATGAGAATCTGTTGATTGGACAAGAAACAAGTGTCCGACTTGTCAGCATTAACGAGTGCCCGTATCCAGCGGGTGTCCTTAAAGCGGTTTCGACTGTAGTAACAACCGCAAATCTGTCTGCTCTCGATCTCGCTAGCCTGAGAAAGCCGACGCCTTTACAGGCTCTTATTTCTCCCGTTTTTTACAACAATTCAGAGACCTGTAAAAAATTAGACTTCTCTTTAAGCTTACCGAAACGCTGCAGAAAGAAGAGTGTAATGACTTTTTTTGGTTTGCAGTTACTACAATAAAAAGTGATACGAAGATGCCATTTGAACGAGTTACATAATTATCTAATTGCCTGAATTACCTCAAAACTAGCAGGGGTTATAGAGGCAAATCTAGAACCCTGAATATAATTCGTCTTGTCACATGCGTTTTCCTTTTTTGTTATGCACGACTCGTCAAAGTGAATTTCACTGTCCGTTTGTTTGAGGATTTTCTGAATTGTGTGTTTTTTAAAAAGTGAAGCCGGCCAGACTTCTGTAAGCATTCTTCACTTTTCGTCAGGCAATGCTCAAAAGCACTAATTTTGCCGGCTGAAAAGTCTCCAGAAACGTTTTTGGGGATCCTCACTAGGCACCCGAGAATTATGGGAGTTAAAATTACGTGCTAATTTTCGGGCCCGAAAAATCGGTGCGTTTAAGAGAAACACATGAAGACGTTTACAGGAAATTTTCGCAAGACTTTTTGGGTGAGAGAAAAAGTTTTCCGGGGACTTTCACGAACCGCACGCAAGCTTCCCCGTAGTCGTATCTTTTGCATTTCGAGCAACAAACCAAAAACGCTGACTGTCACTCCTAACTAGTCAGCAGGACGCGCTGAGTGCCTTTGACGGTAACGTTGTATTGTTTTCTATGCCTGCCGGCGTTTTCGGTTAGATGTGCTGAGCCGTACTTTTCTCCAGTACCAGTGCTGCATGTACAAGTACGCTGTATATGATAGAGATTTTGGCTTGACGACTTTTTCACGATTTTGAACTTCCTGACGGTTTGTGACAGCGGAAAAAAACGATTTGAGTTATACTTTGTTTTTTTTTTTACCTAGTGTGGTATTTGTTCAAGCTCTGTAACCTTTATTCGTACTTTGGTCCATTGCGGTCTGCGGTTGATTTGTTGCCCAAGTAACAACGTGAAAACAATCCAAAACTTAAGATATTGAGCATTAATAACGGCTTAATTATCAATTAATCATAAAGATTTTAAGTGGACTGTCGCCACTGTTTTTGCGAAACTTTTTTGAACGACTTCATAGACTAATATAATGAATCCGGGAAAACAACGAATGCCAAAGAAGCTTCCATCGTTTATTAAAGTCCAACCATCTCAGCCTGCAACAGCCCGTACTTTCCGTTAGGCTGTTAGGCAAGCTGGAAGCTTTACATATTTACACGGAAATGAACGAACTTTTCAAATTACTGTTAATTCAATTAACCAGGATGTTTTCCTTAGCAAGCTGCCGATAATGCACTTTTCTTTCTTCTTTTTCTTTCTTTTTCCCCATATCAGCAGTTGAAACGTGTATTTAAGCATGTACTCTATCTCGCAGAATCTATAATTATAACATTTGATTTCGAAGAGATAAATGTTTTAATTGAGGAACCGTTCAACCTTGCAGGCGAGTGTAAAAAACAATGAAATGTTACAACATAATGGTGTTCACAGTGACGTCAAGAAATTGTCAAGTCATAATAGCGAGGTTTTACGAATTCTTATTTACACTAGGTTGAAGACAAACAAGAAGTAAATCTTTGTACAAGTTTCCATTCCCGTAGCATGTTTCGTTTTGAAAATACAGCAACTTGAACTTCCGAGTTTTCATAGCCTGCGAGCAAGCTCTCGTCTTTGGGCGAGCAAAGCGAGTCTCGCGAGAGCGACTGTATTAAACTAATAAAATGAATCCGGGAAAACGACGAATGCCAAAGATGCTTCCATCGTTTATTAAGTGGCTGTCCACCTAAGAGCGATCCGGCGAGTTTGGGATCGCCAGAAAAGCTTTCCTTTATTTTTGGTGGGTAAAAAGGACTTAATGAGGAATGATTAAAATCGAACTAATTTTTTTCAAAATCCTTTTCTGTGCTTCCCTACAGCACAAAACTTCTTTCCTGTCTGAGAGCGCTTTTTCAACCTCGATGGCCGAAATTCGGTGATTTTAAAAGCCGCGCCTCTTCGTAACGGATAAATATCGCGAAATTCTACATAGTACAATGGATTAGCTGCAGTCTACTTGTCCTATGACGGAATATGGAATAATTTGACGCAAAATTAAATTAAATTAATAAAATCAAACACAAGCCCCCTTTGCGGTTTTTTCCCCCTTGACAAATTCTTCTGAAGTAAAAGCTAGAATCTCCAAAGCGGTACAAAAATCACAGGTAAAATGCACTTCACAGCAAAGATCTTACCTTATTCTGTCAGAAAATAAAGTCAAAGGTACGGGTATCGTTCTGGGTTGGACGTGATCAAACGTTTTTAAGAGCCTCTTTTCGGCATTATTTGCATAGATTTACCCACTTAACGGTTCACACACGACGACTTTAATTTAGTAGATATTTTCTCAGCAGCTGAGAATGTTGTTGTGTATCCTCAAAATAACGAAAATGTGTTTTCTTTTCACTAGCCAGGGTTCTATCTAGGATATTTGAGGGGTAGAGGCTTCCCCACAAAATGCCCAGCTTCCCCCCCAAAAAACATTATTATCATTACAGTATATAAGTAATTATATCAGAAAAATCATCCGGATGCGGATTGTGTCTCAAAATGCACCAGATTGCATCTCAGCGCATATTCATTTCAAAAAATTTCCGGGGGAGTATGCCCCTGGACCCCCCTAACAAACTCGTGGCCTTCGGCCACTCGGGACTTCTCCCCCAAACGATAATTCCTAGATAGAACCCTGTCAGCCGTTTTAAGTTTGTATAAATATACCTGGTGTTTTGAAAACCGGGCTACTAAAAAATGTCAATCTCCCGCACTGATTGGTAATTTAATAGCCCTTGTTACTTGAAAAGTAAAATCTCACCTCAAAAAAGAAATTATTGAATACATGAGCTTCCATTTGCTAGAATCGTTTGTCTTGAAGGTAACAAAACAGAAGTTTTCCTCATTAATCTGGAAAATAAGGCATTTTAAGGGGCAATGTTTAGTGTCAGTGTCACCGATTGCAAAGCCATTTCCCCAGTTCACCCCATTTTTCATTGAAGCTGGTCTCCCAAAAACAATCTAAGCCGACACTGCTCAACAAAACCAAGTCCTACAACCACCAGTTCAACTGCTTGCTGACTAGGAACATTATCAACAGAGTGGATCA